CAAATTCCAAAAGGTTCAGATACTTTTTCATACCACTGTATATCTCCTCTTTGGCCTTCCTCTTTGTCTCCTATCTGGTAGCTCCATCTGTAACATTATTTTACCAATGTATCCACTGTCCCTCCTCTGCACATGTCCAAACCATCTCAATCTGGCTTCTCCAGCTTTTTCTCCAAACCTTCCTGTCTGTGTTGTCCCTCTAATGACCTCATTCCTGATTCTGTCCATTCTTGTCACCCCTAAAGAGAATCTTAGCATGTTTAGCTCTCCCACCTCCAGCTCCGCCTCCTGTCTTCAGCCTATTGCTACTGTCTCTAAACCAGGGGTGCCCAAACTGTTCCATGAAGGGCCGCTGTGGCTGCAGGTTTTTGTTCCAACCAAGCAGTAGCACACCTGAGTTGACAGGTTTAATCACCTGGCCTTAGTCTTCAGACAGCTGATTGGTCAAACTATGTGCTCTTCGTTGGTTGGAACAAAAACCTGCAGCCACACGGCCCTTTGAGGAACAGTTTGGGCATGCCTGCTCTAAACCATACATCATGGTCTCACCACCGTTCTGTAAACCTTTCCCTTCACCTTAGCTGACACTCTTCTATCACAGATCACTCCTGACACTTTTGTCCCGCTGTTCCATCCTGCCTGTACTCTATTGTTTACCTGTCTTCCACAGTCTCCTCTGCTCTGAACAGTTGATCCTAAGTACCTAAACTCCTGCACCTTCACCACCTCTGCTCCTGCTCCTAACCTCACTATTTCACTGTTCTGCCTTTCGTTTACACACATGTACTCTGTCTTGCTACGACTGACTTTAATTCCTCTTTTATATTTTTATTCTTTTAAAGTTTGCCAATTTGAATTTCAAAATAGTGTGAAACAAAATTTTATACTTGAAAAAACAAGAGAACTGCAAGAAGTTTTAGTGTAAAAGATACAGTGTGCTTATTTTAAATCACACACTCATCACCAGGAGGGGACCATGCCTTTAGAAGAACTGTTGGCCATTTACCGCTATGAGGCCTCAGCAGGTTCCAGTATAGACAGCTCCTCTGGAGACATTACTGATGAGCTGCCTGACATGACTTTGGACAAGGTAAATTTATAGTTTTCTATTTTTTTTGCAAAAAATCACATCACGTGGCACATACTCTACAGAGGAGTTGTACAGCCTGAGCATGTAGTTTTGTATTGTGTGTTTATATCTCACACGCGGTTGGTAAGACCATAGTCTGAATGCAATATTCTTCTCATTAAGGAGGAAATTGCAAAAGATCTGTTGTCTGGAGACTATGAGGAGGAGACCCAGTCGTCAGCTGATGACCTGACACCATCGGTCACTTCCCATGAGACCACGGATTTCTTTCCAAGAACACTTCGATGTAAGTGTTAAAAGTACTTTTGTAAAAATTCAGTATTCAAATGATCACATCAAATATAATACATTTACTTTAGAGATAATTTTAGTTGGTGATTGCATGTAATTGACATGTAGTCAGGTGTAATAAAATAAGACTGTTATCCCAGATTGCATGTCTAGTTCATCAGCAGCTCATCACTTGGACCTTAGTATCTGTGTAAGTATTGTAAGTTTGTTGACGTATTTCTATTTTGATAATTTTTAACAGCCAATGCTATATCTGACGGTGATAAAGAGTCAGAGTACGATGACGATGGTCCAAGTCCAGAAGACTCTAGAAAGGTAAAAGAGGTATTTTATTTTAACATTCAGAAATTTCATCCGTAAAACCTAATCATTTTAAATACACTGAAGGGTGACAATTGACAACAATATACAAATTGGATTGCAAAACTATAAAACTATGCATTACTTTACTCTTTGGTAAAATTTGATTGTTATTTAATAACAGGAAATAATGGTTGGAACACAGTATCAAGCAGAGGTTCCCTCAAGCCTCTGTCACTACAAGGATGGAGAGAAGGGTGAATTACTCTGTTATTAACTCCCACTTTATATTTGTGTCTGATATGTCAAAGATGAACCAGCTGACTTGTATCACCTTGTATTTTTTTTGTGTGCAGCGTATGAAGAAGAGGACGAGTTATTGTGGAGCCCAGGAATGATGCCAGAAAACAAAGTTAGGAGTTTCCTGTCGGACGTTTTGTCAATAACAGCAGATGAAAAGATGTCGTGTGACAAACCAGGCACATATGTACGGGACAACGAGCAGGTCAGTGTCTTTTCATGAAACCTGTAATAAACTTTAATAAAAGAAAAATGAATACATACTACATAGGTAACAGACAGGTATAGCTACCAAGCTTTAGAAACATTGCTTCCATTCAGTTCTGATTGTGTTTGAAATGTACAACAGATTTATTTAATCCCTGTTTGCCTGGAGCCATGTGCATTCTCTGAAAGATGGCCAGTAGTTTTAAATTGTTGACTGACAACAGTCCAGTTTTGACCACTCCACTCTTTTCATATAGGCTTTGCACGAGCTTTTGAAGTGTAACTACAACAGCCGCGAAGCACTAGAGAGATACTGCAGTCACATCAAGTCTTTGAAAGGTAAGTTAAGAAAACATGCTGTAGAAAAACTTAATGTCAGTTTTTTTTATTTTTGAGAAATCTAAAAATTAATGTTTTGTAATTTCATAAACTCTTCTTTAACATGACATTGTCTTTAAATACAAACAGTTCTATACAATTTTACTGTTTTAAGTTGATGAACAATTTTTTCTGTTTTTTTTTTGTTTGTTTTGTTTTTGCATTATTTCAATTTGTAATTCGATCTTCCTTCTGTAAACTTTACACATATGAAAATACAGGCTGGTGGTCTGCCTGCTGGGCTTTGCTGCTTGACGCCACCACTGCCTTTGTGCTGGTGTGCTCATCTGAACACCTCCCTGGGCCCCACTAGTGCCTGAGTGTCATTAGTGGTGCCAACTTACCTCAAGGGTGATTTCCTTGGTATGGCCACGGGGTGGGAATTAGGGCTGCGACAGGGGAATTGGGGTCATCCTTATACTTACCTTCAGGGTAAGGGAAGGGGCTGAGGTAAGGGATGGTGTGGAATGGGGTGTCTTACTGGACTATGGCTTTTCCCGATTAGCTGGTTGTTTCTTATGAATTTACTATCTTATTGTAAGACATATCTTCAGTAGTGGATCTTGGGGTCATCGAGTGTTTCGGCCATGTAGGTGCAATGGGTCGAGTGCTGCTTAGGAGCACTCGGTGTTATTAACCAGTCTCAAATTAATAACACAACCAGTCTCATTAAAGTTATCTTTAATTATTATTTTAACCTACTAATATAGCAATAATGTATTACTTGAAGTATTACAAATATACTAAAATCAATAGTATTCAATAACAATTGAATATCAGAAGGATTTTGAGAGTTCTTGGCAAATTGGGTGGCTTCAATGAATAAAGTAACACAGACAAACACAGTTTACAAAAATAATCAAATTTATTTATACAATGCTGTCAAGTTAATGACGGTGATTGAACTCATAAACAATGATCATCATAACAAAACAAAGCGTGTGTGTAGGTGTGTGTGTACACTTATGTGCGTGTCTACACGAGTGGTCGTGTACAAGACAGAGAGAGAGAGAGATGTTGCCTCTTAGCTACCAAGCAAGCGACTGAGCCCTTGAGGCGTGTTCACATACGCGACTGCGCAGTGGAAAAAGAACTGCGAGGTAGAAGGGACAGCAACAGGAAACACGTGAGGCGTGTATGCGCTCACGGAGGTGTGAATGGGTGTTGTGTACGCGCACCAAGATGCGCTCAGGTACAATGAAACAGTGCTTGTGATGTTATCAAAGTATAGGGGGGAAGGGAGGCGTACCGCGTGGTCTACTCCAGACAAAGGACTTTGTCGGAGTTTTCCTGATCCCAATACTGATAACGTTACAAGTTAACACTGAAATACTGACGGTGTACAAGAGTATAAGACCGAGTCAGGAGGTTAGAAAAGAAGTGGCAGCCTTACAATAGTGAATGTCTGCTCGTATTTAGAGTGTAGTGGAAAGTCCGCACTTCTTGGGTCCTTGCCAGAGTTGGGGGCATCCGTCTGGTTCCACTGTGTGCAGAGAGTCCTCTTGGTTCCGAAAGTCGCTTTGGGAGGAAAAGTCTCTGACTGTCGATCACGATTACTGTTAGAAGGAATCCTGTTGCTTCTATGCTTTTTAATAACTGCTTTGGTCGCAGCGCTACGTTACTTGAGTAACTTAATTACTGGTTAACTCGGTGAAGAAAAAGACTCTACTAGTGCTACTAGTGCATTTATCACCGTGGGCAATGGTGTCTACAAAAGCGCGTTGGTTCTTATTCTTCTGAGACGAGCAGGTTTCTCTTTTCATCGGGGTCCTGCGGTGCGAAAGTCCTGAACAGAGAGAATGAAATTGGGGCTGGCCCCCCAATTTAAAGGTTGCGGAGGTTACTGATTGTAACCTAAGTGGATTTACCGGAAGCAGTGGAATTATGGGAGTTAGAGTCCTTAAAAGGACTGTGGTAGTACCTACAACATCTTGAGGTCTTCAAAGTACTTGGCTCCTAAGGTTCTAATGGGGCCAGGGATATAGAAGGAGTCCATGGCATAGTCGATGAGTTGACGAGGGACAGATCCGTATGCGTTGGCAAGGTCCAGCTATACCACATGCAGGTCACCTTTTTCGCCTTTTGCTCTCTGGATCTGCTCCCAGATGACTGCACAGTGTTCCACACACCCTGGGAATCCTGGTACACCTGCTTTCTGGCAGCTGGTGTCAATGTACCTGTTGCTGGTTAGATAGTTGGTCAGCCTCTTGGCCAATACGGAGAAAAAAAGATCTTCGACATTCAGGAGCGCGATGCTCCTGAACTGACTGATGGAATAAATCATCTGAAACATTAGAAGATCCAATGTTCATCCAACTAAAGTTTTATAGTATAATTTACTGTTTCCTTACTCAGTAAGTCAGTATTTCTTTTATTCATAAAAGAAATACTCAAATCTAATTGCTGTATATGTAAAAATTGTTAAAAATGATAAAGCTTTGTGAATAAATTCTCCTAATCCTTCACTTTCAGACTTAAGATTTTAAGACATGACAAGATCATATTGGATTCAACTGACTTGTTGGTTTATCTTCACAAAGTTTATTGAGTGGTTGTGCAATATATAGATGTTTTTTCTGGTTTTATTTTAGGAAAATTGCCCCCGTGGTCAGAAGAGGAATGTAAAAACTTTGAACATGCACTACAGATTTATGACAAAAATTTTCACCTCATACAGAAACACAAAGTGAGTCTTTTTACATTATTTTTTCCAAAATATTTACATCCAGTTTTACTTCTAATGTTATTTTATTTTTTATTTTTTTCCTTTGCCTAGGTCACAACGCGTACTGTAGCAGAATGTGTGGCTTTTTATTATATGTGGAAAAAGTCAGAACGCTTTGACCTGTTTGTGCAGCAGAATCGGTTTGGAAAGAAAAAATACAGCAGCTATCCAGGAGTAACGTAAGAGGCACAATAGCTGTCTGTGTTATTACAAATATGTTAAGCCTTTGGTAAAAAGCAAAGAAATTGCACAAGAATGGCACTGATGTTTAAATATGTCCTGTGGTAAATAGTGACCTGATGGACCGGCTGGTGGATGAAGCCGAGGGTCTCGCAGTAGACAGTTTGTCCTCCGTGTGTTCAGGAGCAGGTGGAGGTGGAAGACTTGAACCCCCCACAGAGCAGCAGCTCAGCCTGCTCAACTCCATCACTGCTAGTGATCTCACAGGTCAGTACCTCAGGTTAATTGTAAATAAGTGTTAACTTCCTTTTTTAAATGATCATCTTCTTAATCTGTTTGTCACCAAATTTATAACTTGCATGCGTGTGTCCGTCTCAACTTCGATTGTACAGCGATCGCAGTTCAAACTGCTCTTATACACAAGAACCCATTTTATTTTAGTATTGCATTCTTGACTTTATTTTGAAAGTCAAGCCAGCCACTTGGGTACACGAAGCCATGTTTATAGTGCCGGTCCCAAGCCTGGATAAATGGTGAGGGTTGCGTCAGGAACGGCATCTGGCGTAAAACGTTTAGCTAAATCAAATATGC